CTTACTTGGTTTAAAAACCATTTCTCATTCGGTTAAAAAACCGTTTCTACTCAACTTGCTCGGTCGTTTGACCGTAGCCACTCAAAACTTGCTCGATCGTTTGACCGTAGCAACTTGACTCACTCGGTTAAAAAACCGTTTCTTGCTTGGTTCAAAAACCATTTCTACTCGGTTAAAAAACCGTTTCTCATTTGGTTCAAAAACCATTTTTCATTCGGTTAAAAAACCGTTCCTTGCTTGGTTCAAAAACCATTTCTCTCTCGGTTAAAAAAACCGTTTCTTGTGTGGTTCAAAAATCATTTCTACTCGGTTAAAAAACCGTTTCTTACTTGGTTAAAAAACCATTTCTTGCTCGGTTAAAAAACCGTTTCTGCTCAACATGCTCGGTCGTTTGACCGTAGTCACTCAAAACTAGCTCGGTTGTTTGACCGTAGCGACTTGACTCACTTGGTTCAAAAACCATTTCTACTTGGTTAAAAAACCGTTTCTTGTGTGGTTCAAAAACCATTTCTCCATCGGTTAAAAAACCGTTTCTTGTGTGGTTCAAAAACCATTTCTACTCGGTTAAAAAATCGTTTCTCATTTGGTTCAAAAACCATTTTTCATTCGGTTAAAAAACCGTTCCTTGCTTGGTTCAAAAACCATTTCTCTCTTGGTTCAAAAACCGTTTCTTGTTTGGTTCAAAAACCATTTCTACTCGGTTAAAAAACCGTCTCTTACTTGGTTAAAAAATCATTTCTTGCTCGGTTAAAAAACCATTTCTGCAACTTGCTCGGTCGTTTGACCGTAGCCACTCAAAACTAGCTCGGTCGTTTGACCGTAGCGACTTGACTGACTTGGTTCAAAAACCATTTCTACTCGGTTAAAAAACCATTTCTTGCTCGGTTAAAAAACCGTTTCTACTTGGTTAAAAAACCGTTTCTTGCTTGGTTCAAAAACCATTTCTACTCGGTTAAAAAACCTTTTCTTGCTTGGTTCAAAAACCATTTCTGCTCGGTTAAAAAACCGTTTCTTACTTGGTTTAAAAACCATTTCTCATTCGGTTGAAAAAAAAAAAAAACTGTTTCTTGCTTGGTTCAAAAACCATTTCTACTCGGTTATAAAACCGTTTCTTGTGTGGTTATAAAACCATTTCTTGCTCAGTTATAAAACTGTTCCTTGCTCGGTTATAAAGCCGTTTTACTCAATTAGGTCGGTTATACAACCGTTGCTACTCAACTTGCGGTTTCTTAATCGTTTTTACTTTATCTGTTCGATCATTCGACACGTTTTACTTTACCTGTTTAGTTTATTTAAAAAAAAAAAAGAGAAAAAAAAAAGAAAGAGTGAAAATTTTGAGTTATTCTTGTTTTTTCTTTTCATTCTTAGCAGAAAGAAAAGAAAAGAGGGGCAACTGTCATAACTCAAATTTTCATCCAAAAAAAAGGAAAAATCAAAAATAT